AGGTCCTGAGGAGCTGACTCAGAAAGATGCTCTCCTTGATCTGCTGCTTGTCAACAGAGTGGATCTTGTGAGTAAAGTGGAGATTGGTGGCCATCTTGGCCACGGTGATTACAAGGAGATCGAGTTTAAAATCTCTGTTGACAGGAGGAAAGGTGCCAGTAAAACCTCAGCTCTGGACATGAGGAGAGCAGACTTCAGGCTGCTCAGGGAATTAGTAAATGAGGTCTCCTGGCAATGTATCACCAGCCAGTCAAGGGAGGGGATTGTCCTGCTCTACTCTGCACTGGTGCGGCCTCACCTTGAATATTGTGTGCAGTTTGTGGCACCACAATGTAAGAAAGGTATTAAGCTATTGGAGACTGTCCAAAGGAAGGCAACGAGGATGGTGAAGGGCCTTGATGGGAAGCCGTATGAGGAGCAGCTGAGGTTACTTGGTCTGTTCAGCCTGGAGAAGAGGTGACTGAGGAGAGACTTCATTGCAGTTACAACTCCCTCATGAAGGGAAGGGGAGGGGCAGGCACTGATCTCTTCTCTGTGATGACCAGTGACAGGACCTGAGGGAATGGCCTGAAGTTGTGTCAGGGGAGGTTTAGGCTGCATATTAGAAAAGGATTCTTCACCCAGAGAGTGGCTGGGCACTGAAACAGGCTCCCCAGGGAAGTGGTCACAGCACCAAGCCTGACAGAGTTCAAGAAGCTTTTGGATGATACCTTCAGGCACATGGTGTGACTCTTGGGGATGGTCCTGTGCAGGGCCAGGAGTCGGACTCGATGATCCTTGTGGGTCTCTTCCAACTTGGCATATTCTGTGATTCTGAGAAACTTCTGATATAGGTGGCATCCAGCCTTGACAGGTTCTGGTTAAACTATGCACTGTCTTCATATAGGAACCACAGTAACTTGCTTTAATGACTTACAAGAGTGACACTATGAGAAACAATGAACAACTACTGCTCCATATACACGAACTGCTTATATTAGCTCTTGCTGTTCAAAGAACCTTACAGATATGGGAAGAATAACTTTACTTCAAGGATCTTGGTCGATGGACCCATATATGGAGTCAGTGGAAACACCATCCCCAACACCATCTTTGGATAAACCAACTGAGCACTATGAGCACTGATACGTACAAAAATCAAGATAAGACTGGCATGGCATCCTCTCTGAGTAAACATTGTGGGAGAAGCAAAGAAAGTTCTGTTGCTTGAAATGATGCTCCAGAAATGAAGACTGTTTTAAACACTTCTAGCTTTAAGCCTACAGCTGGTCAAATATATTTACCTAAAATGAAAGCTGGAATATTTCACTGACTCATTAACAATGAAATAGTGTTCCATCATAATGTTATTCTGACACACTGCTGAATATGCCATCTGTCAGGTCATGTAAAAGTCTCTATAATTCCTCACCACTTGAAATCTTTGAAGATTTAAAGGATTACTTTTGAGAAGAAAATCACTAGTTTTCAAGAAGTAATACCCCACCTCAGACCACAGCTTCCACTGTGATTGAAGTGTCTTGCTTCCATGTTGTGCAAAATAGCCGTGGGCAAAGAAGCTACAAAGTGTTTAGCACCTCTCCGTAATCTTGAACCAAGGTAAGTGAGGCCTAAAGATCAATAAGTGTACATATGTTCTGCATTACACATGTCTATGCTCTGCCCCAGAGGAAGACAACAGGTGAGTAGAAATAAATTTTACAAATTGAAAAATACCATTATGATTTATATTCTCAATTGTGTTATGAACACATTCTTCACCACCAAGGCTGTCTGAAGGACAGTCCAATTAATAAAGCTGTCTGGAGGTAGCTAATAAAATAGCTTGCTGCACTGTGGGGAACACCAGATTGTTGTTACAAATATACCCTGTCTATTTTTCTAGAATCACATAGGAATAAAGGGATAATACCTGTCATTTGAGCAGTTAAATTTTCACATGGCCTTTTTCAAGTGACTTATTAAAGACTCGGTTGAAATGCCTGCAGCAAATTAATGTCCATAAACTTAACTACTCTTGCAATCGAGAATAATTTAAAAATAAGACTTCCAAAGCACTAAATACCAAAATTAACAAACAGGAGTATGACAACCAAGCAAGTGCACATAATATTGTCAAAATGTTCTTGAAAGACCATGGTGACAGTGCTTTTGCAAATAGGAAAGACAGAAAGATACAGGGTCTGAATTAATTCAAACTGCAATAACAGGGTCAGCTGAGTAGGACACAGGTTCAAGTAAGGACACAACTTTATGGGAATGACTTGACAAAAACAAGCAGCTCACTCAAATACATCTTCCTTCAGCCCACCTGAGCTGTATATTGATATACAGTCATGGCTAGCAAATAGTTTCAAAAAACACTGCAGTCTTTGAACTGTATCTTCACTAGACCACGTCTTGCGAAGAAAGCCTGAGTTCTGCATGTGTTTTGAAGCCAAGAGAATTAATTCACTGTAAGTCTGACCCTTCCCCCGCACCCTGCTTTATTACTAGCTTTGTGTTGCATTTGGTTTTGGAGGTTTTTTTATATTACAGCTGCATAGTTGGGCTGAAATGAATTATTCTTCGTCAGAGAGAAATCTGAACATGAAATGCCTCGAGATCACATTCCTCATTCTTGCTTTATTTCAGGCTGCCTGCTTGTAGAAAAATAAATAAAAGATATAAGAAATACTGTCGCAAATCCTTTTTATCTTTTACTCTATGTATTCTGTAGCAGACTTCAACTAACTTTTCCAAAACAGGCAGCACAAGGTCTTTCAATATTGCCTGGTGTGACCCAAAATGCTGCTGCAGACAGCTGGCAGACAGCGTGACAGTGAGGGCTTCAAAGTCAGTGCTGCACTAGTCAGGCTTGGAAAAGCACATCTGATAACAAGGACAAGGTCCTAACTTGAGATCTGAAGTAGAAGGTGCAAAAATTTCTTTCTCTGCAGCTATCATAGGAGCTTCACAGGGAGAGAAAACCATGCAACAGAAAAAGGAAAATCTGCAGCCTTTGGAACCCCGACCTGGTCACTGCTGTTGTCTTCTGGCTACTGGTGGCTTTTGTGAAATACAGTTGTCCTCTCACAGGCGCGTTCACAGCAAAAGTGACTTGTTCAGAGGAGAAGCTAACATGGAATAACTCTGAAGAACCAATTGTTGACAGCTAATCAAGGCAACCCATCCTGGGGCAAAGTTAAAATTGGGCCAGAGCTGGGGTGATTCAGCTGCTGCTGATTGGGTCTGGAGATGCTGTGTTTGCTTGGAACACAGCTAAGCAGCACCTCAGCTTTAGATAACCCTGTTCAAACATACATTTGACACATCTCTTTGAGTAGTTCAATTGCACTATTGCTAATAAACCATTAAATCCCCATTTTCTCCATTTCTCTCTCACTGTATTTTCCTACAACAGATGTCGCTCACCCCAATATCTCCAGCTGTCCAAGACCTTCTATGCATCCTTAGTGCCTCTATTCTACTGGACAGAGGCACAAAACCCAAATCTGCCTCTCAGCATCCTACTGGTTACTAATTGCAGAGGATTTTCTCATTCAGCTAATCCACAAGGAATGACATACCTATAAGTAGATACAATGACTAGCTGTTGAACTTGCACTTTATTTCTCTATCTACCCTCTGCATGCAACTGTAAGGTTTTCTACTGCATCTTAGAAACCTCTTGAGAGATGCTTTTACCTCCTCCTGCCCAGCTGGTATCCTGCACTCCCCAGCAGCACCTCCCAGGAACGGGTCACTTGGAACAGAGTCCTACCAGTTCCCTCAAAAAGAAAATGTGGTCAGGTGTTTGAGTACCAACCCCAAAGTGATGTTGATACCCTAGGCACGCTGTACATATGGAAAGTCCTGAAGTCCTGGGGCTAGTGAATTCCCTGTGAATTCTGCTATAGAATTTGTGAACATTAGGAGTTCATCCCTGGCATTCACTACCATGGAATAGGTTTCTAATCCATTTCTAATAAAATGCATGCCTTTTTTTCATGTTACAATTTCAAACTGCATTTTTGTAAAGCAGGATGGAAAAAAATTATTTTCTTAACAGATTGTGAAAGCACCTAAATCCATCATGGCTGGCAGTCCAATTCAAAACAAAAGGTGGGAGGGGGGAAATAAAAGTGTTTAAACCATAAATTTATGGTGGAAACAAACAACAATACGAAGCATCTTAGGGGCTGGGAATCTGTACAATTAAGTCTTTGTTAATTTCTAAGTAAAAATCCCTTACTGCAATAAAGATTTGGAGAACAGCCTAGCTCATCCTTATCTACCGAAAACAAAAAAAAACCCTCTTTGTGCCCCCTGTGACTATTGTAGAAATTTTAGTACACAGTTAACAGGAGAAGCAAAAACATTCATTTGAAGAGTGATGTTCATTCTTCAGAGATGCATTTAATATTTTTGAATGCTCAGAAGAGCTGATTATGAATTTGATTTCTTTGTAGTGAGAAATGTGATTTAAACTGATGTCAACAGCCAGGATTTATCTGATTCTGGAAAAAAAAACAGGTAAACTACTGCTTTAAAGACAACACTGCAAAGTTCTGATGACTTTAACACAGGAAAAGGCCTAACCGTCATGCTCCTCCCCATCTC